TTAAATATTCAAAACTCACGATAATCACATTTATTAAACCATATTTTCAGGTAATTAAATTAAATTTTTTATTTTTTAAAAATTTAACCCAACTCAAATCAAAAAAATTACGGTTGGTTAATACATGTTGTTCGGGTCATATGAACACTCAAATATGTGAATTTGTGTCAAATACGCCACTATTAATGGACTCAATTAATTTTATAGATAAACTACAAAATGTCTAAACCAAACCCCAATCAACTAGCTTCATACTTAATTAATTAATTTAAATAATGTAGTAAGTACTAGGTTGGGGTTAAAAGTGAAAATGTCAGAGGACACATTAGGTTTAGAATTAAAAATATAAAAAAATTATTTGAAACTTTTAAAATAAAGGACATATATATATATATATATATATATATATATATATTAATGTTGTTTTAAAATATAATCTTATTTATCATGTCACTATTTTTGTTCTTGTAAGATTCTCGTATGAGATTCTCTCAACTTTGTTCTAATTTATAATTCCCTTTTCATTATTCAAATTAATAATAATATTAATTAATAATATAAGTCCCTTCTCCATGCCCTGCCACAACCTCATGCTCCTGCTCCTGACATCTTCTTTTTTTTTTTTTTTTTTTTTTTTTTTTTGGCTATGGTACTTTATGTTTTATATTGAATTAAATTATAAAATTTTATTTTGGACTCTTAAAGTTTACCAATTTATTGTAAATGAATTGAAATAAAATAAAAATATAATATTGACATACTAATACGTCACGAGAAAAATTGATGCAAATATTATTCATTTCACGAGTAGTAGATGCATATCTACTAGGTCCAGCTATGTTAGTCTTAGAAGCTATACATTAATATTAGGTTAGGTTTCCAATTTCAAAACTACTCCAAATTATTTTGCTATGATTAAGAAAACTTAATGATAGGGACGCATATTCACATTGTATATGTTGTCAAGTTCAATTAATTGATTTGACACAAAATAAGAGTAGGACCGGAGGTAAAAATACGAGGAGCGGGTTTTCCACCAAATTTAGGGATGGTTCATTTTTTCTTACTCGTTAAATTTACGAATATAACCACGCGAAGTGCTAGACCGTCCTATCGAAGAAGATCCTCGAGAAATCCCTTTTCTTAAAACCCCTATTCTCCTTTGAGATTTGTTTAGTCATAGCCTAGAAGCTTAGGTTCACACAACATTTACGTTTCAGAATACTTAAAAAACTCATTTTGTAGGTGCACGCGAAAGAAAGGAGGGTCGATTTCAAATTTGGGAATATCGCATACGGAAAGCTTAATGTGATCCCAGCAGGTAAAGAGAAAAGTAGAGGATTGGGTGAGGGAAGTAGATTTGTTTATAAGCACTAGAAAGAAAAGGGAGATTCCAGCATTAGGATGGCAAAATGGGAAGGTTTGTGAAGAAGAAAAGAGGGAAACAAGAAAGTGAAAAGTGGAAATTGGGCAGAGTAAAAGGGAGGCCTGGGTTGCCCACCTATGACCATCACCCACCTATATTCCTCCTTTTCAAGTTGCCCATTCTGCTCTTTCCAATTTCCATAACCACTTTTGGTGAAGACTATAAAGCTAGTGGCATCTTGGTTCCATTTACAATCACCCACATGCCTAACTCCAATACATGTCCATTTACCACATGTCATTCTAAGTATAAAAATGAGTGAGATAATATTGATATACAAAACACAATGGCTAACGCACTCCAAACTTGCCTCATAGGATTCCACTTCTTCAAATATATACCCACTTTCAAGTAGTTTCAATACTAGTTGAAACCATTTCTGCCGTTTTCAACAAAATGATGGACAAAATTCTATCCATAGACGAAAGGATTGGTTATCCCATCGTGTGTAACCAAGCACTTCAAAAGGTTTGGAGAAGAAAAAACATACTTAGTTCGAGAGCCCATCTTGTTAGGAACCACGACCCTCCACAATGGTATAATATTGTCCACTTTGAGCATAAGCTCTCGTGGCTTTACTCTTGGTTTTAACAAAAGAGCTCGTACCAATGGATAGTGTTCTTACTTATAAATTCATGGTCTTCTTCCTAATTAATCAACTCATTTTATCCTAGAAGACAAATGTCCGACTACTCCTTAACATTGTAGAAAGAACGAATTATCTTAAGGAACCAACTATTGGTCAGATTTCGACTTAGATTTATAATCCTATAACATAAACCTAATGAATTAATGTTCAAGGCAGAAATCCAATCAAATAAAGAACAAGAGTATGAACTAACCTTCAGCTTGGACGAGGTAGAAACAACCAATTACCAATAGTCTCTGCATGAGCAAGCCCCTTCCTTGAAGTGGTGAAACCGGTTGGCGTCACGTAGTATGATCGTTCTCCGTTCAATCGACGATACAAACTTGCAAAATGTATGGCAGTCACCACAAACTCTAAGATTCTTTGTAATCCTTATAGGAGTGTCTCCAGGTATGACTATTAAGCCAAACGCAATGGCCAACTTTTCACTATGTGCATATAGAAGTCCTTGCTTTACTTCCTCATCAACATCATGCAGCACATAGTTTGTATCCGGGACATAGCCAGCCAACTCAAGCTTCTCGCCCACTCGTTTCAGCATCTCATAGATCTCGCTCGACCTCGGATGTGTTTTATCTCCAACGCTGAATTGATAGAGTTTTTCATCCACCTCAATCCATGTCCATCCAGGGATCTTCTTTAGTCCACATTTGGTCATCAAATCTCTTGTTTTTGCCATATCTTTCCACTTGCCAGCATTTGCATATATGTTTGAAAGCAATACATAATGCCCTGGGTTCTGCGGCTGTAGCTCAAGAAGAGAGCTTGCCACCCTTTTCGCCAAATCTAAACGTCGGTGAATCCGACATGCCCCCAGTAACGCTCCCCATAGTCCTTCATCTTTCTCTACTGTCATGCTTTCTATCAATTCCAAGGCCTCATCGAACCTCCCGGCTCGACCTAGGAGATCAACCATGCAAGTATAGTGTTTTACATCCGGTCTTACACCGTACTCATCCCACATTGAGGCAAAAAATCTCTGGCCCTCTTCAATTAGACCAGCATGACTACAAGCATACAACAACGAGACAAACGTGATCCGATTTGGCAATATTCCGCTGCTTAACATCATTGGGAATAACTCGAGCGCTTTCCCGCCTTGTCCGTGATATCCATAGGCTGCAATCATGGCACTCCATGTAATCACATTCTTCACTTGCATCTGATCAAAAATCTCCCTTGCCAAATCAACACTCCCACATTTCGCATACATATCGATCATTGCTGTCCCTAAAATTACATCCAAAACATATCTGGTTCCATTAATATAGTCATGAATTGCCCTGGCCTTATTCATGGCGCCCAACTTTGCGCAGGCATAAACAACAGTCACCAACGCCACTTTATCAGGGACAATACCTTCATCCCTCATCCTATCAAACAAAGTCAATGACTCAACAGCACTGCTACATTCAGCCAAGGCACCAACCATCACTGTCCATGTCACAAGATCTCTCCTTGGCATTTTATCAAACAGTTGGCGGGCATCCTCAATCACTTTACACCTAGCATACATATCAACAAGAGATGCACAAACAAAATGATCAAAATCCAGCCCACATTTCGAAGTGGCACAATGAATAACCCTACCAAATTGCAGGTCCTTCAAATCTCTGCAGGCCCTTATAACAATTGGCAATGTATAGTTATCCAATGGCATCCCACAACGAACAAGCTCCCTAAACATCCAAAAACAAGAAGAAAAATCCTTAACTTTGGCATACCCACCAACTATTACACTCCAGCTATAAGAATCTCTCTCAGTCATTTCATCAAACAGTTCATGAGCATCCTCCAAGGCGCCATATTGGGCGTATAAGAAGAGAAGTTTGTTAGCAATCGCGAGGTTTCTAAATGCGCCACTGGAAGCAATATGGCCATGGACTTGCCTAATTTGAAAGAGATTTCTGCAACTCAAAAGCAAAGTTATAAATCGTTTGGGGTGAAAATAGAGAAGGAAAGAAGATTGAGATTCTTGGGTTGAGGAATTTGGTTCATTTGAGTGGTTATTCACATTGAACTGCACAGAAATAGAAGCTTCTTTCACTGCAGTCGTTGCTGAAGCGGAGGAAAATCGAAGCTTTCCATTGTTGATGAAAATGATTTGGCTTTTGGATTTCAGCATGTGAGTTATGGCGCTAACCGGAGAAATTGTTGCGGCTAAATAAATTTCAGAAATGTCTCGCCGTTACGGTCACAAGATTTAAATACAATACGAGAATCTGAAATTTTTCGCATTTCTTATAAAAATACACTTAACAATTAGCCCTTTAATTTTGGTTAAATTATAAAATTTATTCTTTATACTTAAATCCAATACAACTTAAAATATCTAATAATTTTTTTTATTTATAATTATTTGAGCAAATAATATACTTCCACGAGGCCCTAGACATGAATTTGACCAAATATGTGTTATAGAAGTGTGACTACTTGTGAACCTCTCCCTAATTTTTTTATGATTGTTCAGCAAAATCACGTCTAGGCCTATCAGACTTGAATCCCGTTTAAATATATTATACGGTAATGCAACTAATTGTCAAATTCTTACTATCCAAAAAAGTTAAATGTTATTAAGCTGACTTTTGTTTGTATGTCATATGACATTACTTTCAATCTCTCTCCATTTTGCTTTCGAACTCTCTTTCAAAATCTCTCACCCAACATAGGCGACACACTTGAGCATAGGTTACCCAACATAGGCGACACAAATATAAATTGACTTGACTCACTTGCGGTTGACGAGCGAGTGGCAATGTCTAAAACTTTTAATTTTGTATTTAATTATACTTCAAATATTCAAAAAAAAATTACAAATTTATTAATATATTAGACATAAAATAGATCCTAAATTAGACAAAATCACCATGAATAAATGTCCATAATACAACAAAAGTAAGATATGGGGGTAAAGGGAGAACAAAATTAGGGCAAAAAACAGCCCAACACTACACTACAATCTTGTATTTGTGGAAATAAAGATTTAAATGTGAGGATATTTCTGCTTAATAATATACATTCGATCCAATAACAGCCATCGCCTAAGTAAATCTCAAGATGAGAATTATTCATTCTTAGCCCTCCCCCCTCCCTCCAACCACACTTTTTTTTGCTGTATATTATCTTTCTTTCTGGCATGGTTCGGCCCTGTAAATTTTCCACTGGTAACAACAATAACAGTTTACAATAGGAATACACAGATACAAATAATACTCAACTTTCCACCAGATTTTGATGCTTGTGTTAGACGACATTGCGCTCCAAAAGCGGCACTCGCGGTATAAGTGATGGTTTCAATTCCTTGCCATTACTACTCAATGATTCGCAGGAATTGTTTTCCCGGAACTCCTCCACAAGGGCTTCCATTGGCATGGCACGAAGCGACTCGATCGTACTCTTGCTCGGAACGTCTGGTTCGCATCTTGTCGGGGTGCTACCGGTTGGCTCATAGTCCTACACATTCAAAGAATGTGTCGTTAGAGGAGAAATTACTAGAATCCAACTATGTGTCGAATAATCTCACGGTGTTGGATCTCTTACATGCATGCACTAAGAACAAAGGAGCACAAATCAAAGGAGAAATTTGCAAGTTTTTAAAGGGCTAAAAGTTCTACGGATCTTGAAGAAATATACATTTTTTTCATGACAAAACAGAATCTCAACTTCATCAAGAGAAAACAAGATGGTTTCTGTGAATGTTTATCAGCAAATTAAGATAGAAACCAATGAAATTAAGTGGAAAATAAGAGAACAAAAGAAAAAAAAAAAAAACACTGAGTAGGAGTGCTCGTGATCGTGTTCGTGTTCATTCAACTTCTCATTAAATCTACCTTATACTTTTCAATATGTAATAATAACTCACCATATATTGCTGCCGAAATGTTTCTTTAGCCTTTTCTTGAATGGCAGAAACTTCGCAAGAGTGATCATTCCGGAAAGCTTCAATTGTTTCTGTATGAGTTTTGACAGTCTCCAATACACCAGATATAGAACCACGCTCTTGTTCAGAAATGCCTACAATAACATCCACAAGCATGATGAATATCATAAGAAATATAGCATTGAACTTCAAGAATCGGTCAGTTATAGGATCAGTACAGCTACATTATGAGCTTCAATTTTAAATCAAATGTATGCTTAAACAATTGAGAATCTACTATACTATATGCTCACCGTCAACATGCTGAAGAGCATCTTCAATGCTCGTCATCATGTCTTGTTCTGCTGCAGAACGCTCAGAAGTAATCTCGGCATCATGTTGCTCATTACTATCACAAGCGCCTCTGTAGCAAAATGAACCATTACATCAATGGATAAAAAAACATCTTTAGAATCACTTGAAATTAGAAATTTAGGACTCGATTATTTAAAATTAAACTCATAAATATTACTTCCATGGGTGGAAGTAAGTTAGATGACAATTTGATTTTCTACTTTTAAAAATTAAACATGTAAACATTACTTCCATTCATGAGTTTCTTTCTATGTTATCTACTTTCAAAAGAATGTTTTGAAAATTTCACTAAAACCCATAAAATAAAGAATTTACCAAAAACCAAACAAATTTCTTAGATACAGAAAACTAAAAACTGAATCATAATCAAACAGTCTTAGTCGTTGACCAACCTCACAGCTGAGACCACATCTGAAACATGTTTGCTACCCATCTCATTCAAAGACTCTTGTGTTCTATTCCACTGCTTGAGAGCTGAATCAGTGGTGCTCATACTGCAGCAGATAAAAGGAAATAAAAATTAGACGAGGACACAACAAATTTTCTTAAGTCATATTGAAGACAAAAGCTTGCCATTGCTGCAGAAGCGCCTCCATGCGACAATGTTTAGCAGCAGAAAAGTCAGCGCTATCTCTTGTTTCATTCTCAGTTTGCGTTGCGAAAACCTGCCATTTGCGCTTTGCATCTGTAGCCATACCTTCCATGGAGGAAATATATCCATTCAAAAACGTCTTGTGTGCACTGGCAGTTTCTTGAAGGCCAACGAGCCTAGCATCCACCTATTATTGCATAAACACTTCAAGTGAAAATCTATTTCCCAACAGCAAAATTTCACCATATAAGTCGGCCTCTTGGACATGACTAACTTACCAGTTCCTTTTGACGACGGATGTGACAAGATACCAAATTGGTCATATCAGCTATAAGTTTCTCCGTATCAGATCTTGATTGCTCCTGCAAAACAGAAAGCAAAGGTCAAATGCGTTTCTTTGTTGATATGTTTAGGTAATCAAATCTATGCTAAACCTCGTAAACTTTTTGGAATTCTGCAATGCTTTTCATCTGGATCTCTTCAGCTTCTGCCGCATGATTTCCCAGACTCTTTGATTCTTCGGTCAGCTTCAAGAGGAATTCTTCAATATATTCAGAAATATCCTTCGTTTGATCAATAGTAGCATGGAACCTCTGTTGGAATTGAAATCCATAAAAGAATATACAAGGAGCAGAATTAATATCATAATCAATAAAACTAAGTCGATTAAAAATGCAGCTGAATATGGTTTAACTATCAATGAAGTAATAAAAATAGCTCGCACAAAACTATAGAACCATTTTTCACACACAAATTCTGTGAAACTGAATAAACACGACAGAATCTATGCAAAAAAGACAATAGTTAAGAGAAGGACTAACTTGTCGCAATTCCCTTGCAAACAGAGCCATTTCTTTCGATTGAGTTGAAAGAGTACTCTGAAGATTGTCGAGTATCGTAGATGCTTCACGAGCCTCTGTTGTCAAAAACTACATTGCAAGAGATATCAACTTCAATGCAAGTTACTTCACTGTAACTTATGATATAAAACGGACAACCATAAAGTGCAATATACCGATCACGCATGAGAATAATTGACAATAAGACTAAAATAACAATAATTGTCTTTCTACGTACTTCTTCTATGGATTTTGCACTTGTAGATGCCAAAGAGGAAATATCTTCTAAAGTGGCATTTGAGCTGGCTTTGTGCAAACGTACAACATTTTGCAATGCCTCAATATGAGAGATATATAATGTTCTTGATGAAGATAATTTTTTCTTCATGTCCATTATTGCCTAAGACAACAACACAATAAAAAAAATGTCAAGATTGCAACTACTGTTACGTTTATTACCATTTGTAAATCATAACTTACAGGACTCGCACTTCCTTATTATATATACCTTTTCATGTTTGTCTAAAAAGGAATGACATATCTTTTCAACACATTGAAGATGTTCATTCTGTCGAGACAAGGATGTTGAGACCATATTGCAAACAGAGCCAACTTGCTGCGTAAGCTCTATCTGATAATTATCCACCACTGCTCTATTCTCTGTATTCAGTTTGTCCTCTCTACCTACATTACAAATATTGCAAAATAAATTAAGCCAAATTATGGCAGTAGTAAGAGATAGCAGAAGCTGAAGACTAGAACATCACCAACTTACCAATTTTCATAAATAGTGAAGCATTATCGTGAAGGGCTTTCTCCAAATCCGAGCGTAGGACGCATGCTTGATGAGCCAGAGCGTTCTCTGTTTTACATGTTCAAATTATCGTCTTAGGCTCGAAATTGGAATAAGTATTCAAATGCAATAAGTATACAATTATAATCACCTGCTTTTCTCTGCTCAGAAATAACAAAATCCTTTTCCTTCAGTAAATATCGACATTTCTGCAACTCTTCCTCCGTGCTTGCAAGCAACTTTTGCGTTTGACACAGAGTTTTCTGTATTGTTCAAGTGACTAATTAGACCCTTGGGGAGCTAACATCAAACTTCACAGCTAATAGATAAAAGCTCACCTCTGTTGAATCAAGTTTCTTGCTCAAACCAGAGCACTGTACTGCTTGAATATTATATTTGTTCTGTAATTCCTCTTGTTGCTGTTTAAAGCATTGACAATTAGTAACAAGGGTATGAACAACAACGACAATTTTATGTTCAAGTAAAATGGGTCACCTTCTGATAAGTTTCAATTGTTATTCCCATTTGCTCGATTTGATCTGCCATTGCCTAGGAGAGAAAAAGATACTGGTAAAGAAGACCTCTAGAGATTATCATGCTATCCGAAAAATATAAGAAAGATTCCCCCAGAACTCTGAGAAATTCTCTTTCCCCAAACAGGAAAAATGATATACAAACAAGTGGCAGTTGGATTATTTCAAATTCAAATAACATTCTAACAGCAAAAAAGTTAATATTGATGATGAAGAAATAGAAGAAGAAGAGCTCAAGTTCAGAAACACCAAAAAGATGATTAAGAAAATGTTTTGAAAAGAAAAAAATTGAAGTTGACCAACCTTTCTTTCACTCTCCTCTTGTTGGTACCGCTCCTTTGGGATATAGACACCATTCTTTTCACGGGCAGCATAAACCTCTGGGGAAGAATGGCAGGGTTTCACTCACTAAGTTACCAGTTAAGGATCATATAAAACTCAACTAATTAATTATGTACACCAGGAAGCATATCTAAACCATCTCACCTGCCTTCAACCGGTCAATTTCACCATAGAGATCCTTGATAAGAGTAGATTTCATCATTTTTTGATTTACCTAAAAAAGTGACGCGACAAGGAAGCAAAAAATCAAAAGTTGCAAAAAGTAAATCTACTGCAACTCTCCAGAAACAAATTAACGCACTAAGCTTAGAGCTAAAAGGTTCCAAGAAAAATCAGGAGAATTTTCCTAGACAAGCATTTAACAATCCATGGCACACTTAAGTTATGATCAATAGAAAATCAAAGAGGACATAAATACATGATGGTTGCTTATTGATATGAAGAACAAACCTCTGGCTTATTCTTAATATTCTTGGCCCTGTGTGCGTAATCTAACGTACTCAAGGTTTCCTCAAGACAGTGAACAGCTGGAGAAACTGTGGCAATGATGCAAGTCTTGGTTCTTCCCCCAAGTGAATCGCGGAGTAACCGTGTAAGCTTGCTATCCCTGAAGTTCAAGCAAGTAGGAAGCTATTAGAATGAGGAATGAAAGAGAGATGAAACATCCTAAGAGCTTGTCAAAGCACTAATAGTAGCAGCTAACCTATATGGGATATGCCCAAGATGCTCCACTAGAGCATTGATAACTCGCCCCAATGTTAATAAACTTTTATTGATCTCCCCAGCTTCTCTTGCACGACCCTGTATTATCATAACTAAGAATTAGGAGCACAACGAATATCATCTTCAGATTCACAACAAGGCAAATGATTGAAACTTATGCTACCTCTCGGGCACCAGAACGAGATATGTTTTCTGATCCAGCCAGATCAACCAAATTTAGCTTGCCACATTTGATCAGTTCTTCACCTTCTGGGGTAGCTTCCTTAATGTGAATTGTTATTGAAAAGAGAGAATGCGATCGACTGAAATACCAAAGAACATTATCAATTTGAAACTATGGAATCTGGCAAATACAAAAACGATGTCAAGATAATAGAAACTTAAAAGCCTATAAACATCCTGTGATAATACCTGGATTGCTTATTCAACAATGTCTCTGCAGTGCGACGTTTTGCTGATCCTCTTTCGAGTAAGCTAAAAATTTCACTGGCACTAGTGACAATTTCCTCCTCCAGACCTCTCACAAGAACACCCCCTTTGCCGTCCTCCATCAAGGGTAATTGCTTTTTCTGCTTCTCCTCCAAAGCAACTTTCGTAATCTCCTCTGGAGCAAGCAAATCGGTAATCTCCTCATTGTAGAGCTCTAAGAAAGTGACCTTCACGCTGTACTCAGCGTTCTGGCTCTCTAGAGTATCAAAAATCTGCTTCACGGTTCTGGGTATAACTCCTGCTTCTGGAGGCAAAGCTCCATTTGGACCACTCTGGTATATTGCGAAACCAAATTAATAAACAGAATCAACAAAAATGAGCATCAGAAGCACCAATATCAGGTGGCTAAATAACGTACCTTCGATCTTTTACATTCCCCTTCCATTGTGTACGTTTTCCCTGTACCAGTTTGTCCATATGCAAAAATTGTACAATTAAAGCCTTCTAAAACTTCATTTACTATGGGAACTACTGCTTGCTCGTAAAGGTCTCTCTGCTTAGCTGAAGGACCGAAAACCTGAGACAACCAACAAGCAAGAACCATAAGTTGATATAAGATTAATATTCGCACCGCCTACAAGCCAAATCAAATTAAAGCTCCTACAAACAGAACAGGAGACGAGATATTCAAATAGATATGAAGAACGAACATCCAACAACGAAGTTTATTTTCCTACTGGATTGAAGGTATAAAAAACATCTAAGCAAAATATCAGTACTTTGGAAATGATTACCTTATCGAAAGTGAACACTCTGTCAAAATGCTTCCCAGCAACATTTTGAGACACAGTCACTTCCCTAGAATAATCATTACAAGTAACAACCTGCGGTGCATTACTTCGCAACTCTTCCTCGCTAAAAGGCCTGCAAACAGATAAGGGGAAGCCAACAAACAAGATCGATATAACAGTCTCAAAAGTTATTCAACTAAATCATCAGAGAAGATAAGCAAAATCCAAAACTAGAATCTAGCAAGAATCATTTCCAATACCTGCAACGAAGAAGAACCTGAACATTGACGCCCTTCTCCTTCTCGTGACGACCGGACATCGTTCAATAGTCAGCGAGGAAGAGAGAAACGATTAAAAGGAAGAAAGCAGAGAAGTTCTTCACCTTCAAGAACCAGATCTACTCTGATTCTTCTTCAGTTCTCTCTCTCTCTCTCTCTCTCTCTCTCTCTCTCTCTCTAATGGCGCCTTCTCTCCCTTTCTCTCTGTGACGCTCCAAAATAAGAACAGGCGGGATTGAAGAGAAGAATTTGAATTTTGGAAAGCCGCTTGGTATGTGTCTACCGTCTAATAGATCGACGGATAGACGTTGAGGAATGTTGATCGACGGTCCAGATCACGTTCGATCTTCGCTGTTTTTTATTTGATAGAAACATCCCTATACATTTTAGTTAATGTCCGTTTTACCCCCGGATTTTTGTGTAAATGACAAATTCAGGTCTAGGCCTTTATATTGGGAGGCCCATATTCTTAAACCAAGCCCAATATATTGATATCTTGGGCTTTCCTCAATTCTACTGGTTTCGGCCCGAATTTTAATAATTTTTTATATTCATCTCATTAATATTTTTTAGGTTAAAAACATCACTTTAGGTCCTCGTTTTCAAAATTAAACTTTTAAAATATAAAATAAATTTATGAAATGTTCAGTTAATAATAATTTTTTAAACTCAATCTGATGTGAACCAAAAGACATCAATCATAAATATACTTCAACGAAGATATAAAGAAAATATTGTTAAAATTACAAAAAAAATATTTCAATTCATGCCACATTAAAGAATAACGAAGTTTCATGTTATAAATTTTGGGTGGATTACAATTTAGAATTACTTAATTTCATTTAATGTATTTTAAGACTTTTTATTTACTTTAGGCTACAATTACATCATGTATTTTAAGATTTTTTATTTACTTTAGGTTACAATTAGATAATTGTCAATTATGGTCATAAAATATGAATGTTACAACTCGCACGTATTTAATAGTTTCATTTTGAGGCTATATAAAATGATATATATTGTATTTGTTAAAAGAAGCCTTTGTGCTTTACTAGCTAATAACTAAGATTCTTTGCAATTCTATATAGTTTAGATGGTAGGTAAAATCATTAAAGCTCAACAAGATCAATCTTACTTGTGCAGTGAGTCGAATCTCAATCAAGTGTTATTGCATTGAGATATTCGATCAACAAAAATCATTCAAGCTAAACATGATCGATCTTGCTTGTGAAGTGATTCGAATCTCAAACAATGTTCTTGCCTTGAAATATTCAATGAACAAGGTAATCCGAATCTTACTCCACTTGTAGTGATTTCCATGCATCATTATGACACTCCACATATCATTATGATTTCCACCTATTGGCCATAATTAACCATAATGATAACTAAATAAAAAGTCTTAAAATACATTAACTTTAAATTACTCTAAAATGTAATCCACCTAAAATTTATAACATGAAACTTTATTCTTATTATTCTTCAACGTAGCATAAATTAAAATATCTTTTGATAATTTCAATAATATTTTGTTAACATCTTCATTGAAGTATATTGTATGATTGATGTGTCTTGGTTCATATCCAATCTACAATATTTTATTTTATATTAGAATTTTCATTTTCATAACTTTTTAAATTTATAATGATACGATTTTTTATTAACTAACTTAAAAATAAATAAAAATAAAAAGCTATCTAGAATTGAATGGTAAATTTATTGCATATATTTACTAGCAGTATTCTTACAGTTGCCAGAAAGGCAGAATTCTCAAAATCGATATTACTTATAAGCCCTTCATTTCAACCAATAATAACTATTTGCCTGTGTAGGCATCATTGAGCTACTTCATTGTCTAAGGGGTATTATTTGCGAAATAATTAATACCACGTGGAGGTTACTCCTAACTGACACGTGTAGTTCAACCAGAAAAAAGATACGTGCCTTTTACGTCCAATTAAAGTTGCGTGACAAATTCGATTATGCACATGAATTCTCACTTGGGTATATTTATTACCAAAATAGGGACCATAATTGAGATATGCCATTCAATAGGGTTCGGTGGGTTTTAAAAAAAATATTATAATGTACTTTAAATCAATTTATTTATATTTATTCAATATCATACTTTATTTTTTAATTACGAAACTCTCCGATAATCGAATTGGTAAATTGTCATGGAAAATAAAAGTGTTCATATGATCCGATAACTCGATCAATTTAATCTATCAAACCCAACCATAAATAGCTAGCTGAACTTATTCAATACTCTTGCAAACTCATTCAATGCATTGTACTTATTATTATTTTATTTATTTATTTGCCATTTTTCTATTTTTTACTTCTTTAAAATTATTTGATACGATTCAATGATGTACGGAATTCAATAAATGATCTTACTTTTTAGCTATTTATGTGTATAAAAAATATGAATTTTTCAAAGATGTTATTATTCTAAAGAACCTTGAATTTCGTCTTAAAAATATTTAAAACTATCCAACATTTAATTTTTCGGGCAAAAATTAAAATATATAATAGTATTAAAGGCATGAAATACTATTTTTTTTAGTCTTAAACAACTTTGATTCGTTGTTGGTATCACCTCAAATAGGTTCGCTCGAAAATTAGGACGTCAGCCTTTGCAACGTGAACAAAATGTGGGTCTCCTTTCCTTTGCGATGTCGGCCTCCACCATTACCGCACAAAAGCGAGAGACCTATCATAGCACCATCGCTCGCCTCTATTGAAGGCGTATGCACACGGTGGCGATCTCATTGGAGGAAGTATCTTATTTTTTTTATTTTTTAAATTTAACTTAAATTTTATTTGGAAAATTAGCTCCCATTTTTCTAGAAGTGTCGAATGAAATAATAACATTTATTTTAAGAGAAATTGAAAAATACAGGCGATAATTAAATAGTATATACATAAAAATAAATTTTAAAATTTAGCTTATAATTCTATAATCTAAAAATCATCTTATTATTTTTTTTATTATAAAATCTAAAAATTAAATTTATTACCCTATTATTATAAATTATTTCTTAAATAATTTATCTACCGGCCTCCTCAACCACCATTAATATTCATACCATAAAAGGCAGAGAGAGAGAGCTTTCATAACCTTCTATAAATTTCCAAGCACAACCCCAAGGCCGCAGCTCCTCAAATTTTCCGGCTGATTTATCCACATGGAAGATTCCAGAAGCCGCCGGCGAGTAGCCACCGGCACCGAAACCGCCTGGTGCCGCGCTGTCCCAGGCGGCACCGGCACGGCGGTGCTAGCTCTATCCTCCTCCTCCTCCTCCTTCTCCGCCCCTCCAAATCTCCAACTTCTCCAAAATGCCCTCAACAAACTTCAGAATGCCCATCCTGTCCTCAAATCCAAACTCCATTACAGCCCAATTTCTTCCACTGTTTCCTTCGTCACTTCTCCAACTCCTTCCGTCCAAGTCAAGACGTTTAAAGCTCCAGAAACTTCCAAAATTATAAATGACCAAAACACCCTTCTCAACAATAATCACCATCACGCCATTTCCATTTCCCCTCTCCAGATTCTCCTCGAACACGAACTCAACGAGAACACCACCTGGCGTAACCTTCACCGCTCCGACACGGCGGCGGACATGTTCTTCGTTACATTGTACGAGGTAGGCTCCAGCAAATGGGTGGCTGTGTTCCGACTACATGTCGCGGCGTGTGACCGGACCACGGCAGTGTCGCTTCTGGAGGAGCTACTCGTTCTAATGAACGACGGAGGCAGCGGAGATAAAAAAGATGAAATGGAGTTGGGAATGGAGAACCTTGTTCCTAGAAAGTTGGCGAAGAAGCCATTGTTGACTCGAGGATTGGATATGATCAGCTACTCGATGAACTCGTTGAGATTAACGAATCTTAAATTTAAAGACGTTAAATCTCCGAGACGATCCCAAGTGGCGAGGCTTCAGATGAACCACAACCAAACCCAGAAAATTCTCTATGTGAGTATTAAAAGAATGAGAAACAGAAGTGCGATAAAAAAAATTATATTATATATAATTTATTACGACTATATAAAATATATTTTAATAAACGAGTATTTTGATAGGAGTGTAAGAGGAGAGGTATAAAATTGAGTTCGGCAATGGTGGCGGCGGGGTTGGTGGCGGCGCACAGCTCCGGTGGGCACAGCATCCACCGCCATCAACGGAAGTATGGAGTGATAACGCTTATAGATTGCCGGCGGTCTCTGGAGCCACCACTGTCAACCCACCATTTCGGTACATTTTATTTTGGTTTCTTAAATAAAACCCTAATTTTGAACTATTTATTTCCATTTTCATATGTTTTTGAAGAAGCATGGCTTGGGGTTGGGTATTCCTTGCCCTTTTTGGGATATCTCGGTGCCTAGGGGTATTAATGACTAATTGAATCTATGTTTAATTATTAAAAGGTCTATTTATTAACGCATTTCCCTTTTTTTGGTAGTTTTGTATATGTTTGGAAGAATTATTATATTATTAGAACGTGACTTGGTTTAAACTATTTTTAAAAAATTATAACAAAAAGACTAAAACACCCTTGGGACTTTCAGGGTTTTACCATGCTGCCATTCTGAACTCCTACACGGTGAGAGGAGGAGAAGATCTGTGGGAGCTTGCAGGGAAAATCTCATCGACATTGGAGGCTTCCAAGAACTTAAACAAGCACTTCACCGACATGTCGGACCTGAATTTTCTGTTGTGTCGTGCCATCGAGAATCCAAGTCTCACTTCGTCGGGGGCGATGAGGACGTCGTTGATGACGGTGTTTGAGGACACGGTGATTGATAACTCGGGTAGAATGCAGGAGGAGATTGGTGTTAATGACTACATGGGATGCGCCTCCATCCATGGAATCGGCCCCTCCATCGCCGTGTTCGATACTGTCCGAGATGGGCAGCTGGACTGTGTGTGTGTTTATCCAGCTCCATTGCACTCTAGGGAGCAAATGGAAGCTTTGGTTGAGAACATGAAAAGGTCTCTTCTCCTTAAAGAATGAATAATGGTTTGCTTCCGTTTTGTTTTTGTATTTCATCCGTGCATTTTTTTTAATTAAAAAAAAAAAAAAAAAAAAAAAAAACTAAGAATACCGGTTCTAGGTTAAAATTGGTTAAAATTTGTTTCACTCCTCTGGGGAATACAGAATCATGTTCGATTCAATTGGACAAGTTAATAATTATAGTCACGAGGGTAGGAAATTAGCCCCACCATGTGTCGTAATCGTACTTTTTTAACCGTCAAGGTCGCCATCTAAGCGTTTCAACCTCAACTTGGTACGTCTTGGTCCCCTTTTTGGCAGTCGGTGCTTCGCCCGAACTTAATTAGTATATTATAATTTTTTTTTAAGTCAGTAAAAGTGAAGGCTTTGAAAGATTAAAATTAATACATTTAATTACGTGGAAAGTTTGTAAGGTAAAAATGGATGTATATTAACAAGATAGGAGTTAATGACCCGTACACGTAATTAAGAAACGACATGTCACGCGCCAATGTGTAACCCTTATCCGACGTCGTATTGTGGGTCTAAATCCTCTTCTTCTGTGGAGTGAACATCGTCTTCTCTTCTTCGAAATATCAGATTTCTCATGGCGGCAGTGCTCTGTACTCACACTGACGCCGCCTCCGAAATGTCGGATCCTCCTGCCGGTGAGTCCAAGTCCCGCCCCGTCGGCGGTACCGAGTACAGCTGGTGCCGCGCCGCCCCCGGCGGCACTGGCACCACTGTCCTCGGCCTCCTCCTCTCAAAACCTCCCGATCTTCTCAATCTCCAATCCACTCTCCACTCTCTCCAAAACCTCCACCCGATTCTCCGCTCCAAAATCCGCTACGATCCTTCCCGACGAGACTTCTCTTTCCTCACTCCTCCTTCTCCGCTACTCCACCTCCAGATCCTAGACCTCACAGCCGCCGCACGCGCCATCGCTTCTCATCCCGATGCCGACGATCCTTCCGTTTCCGATTTCCACAAGATCCTCGAGCATGAGATCAACATCACCACGTGGCTCGATCCGAACCATCCATCGTACTCTGACACCGACGTGATGTTCGCCTCTGTTTACACCATCAACGACGGCCAATGGGCGGTTTTCCTCCGCCTCCACACGGCAGTCTGTGACCGGACGGCCGCCACAGCCCTGTTACGAGAGCTGCTTGCGGCGGCGAGCGGAGAAAACGAGGGCGGAGAATTCGAAATTAGGGATCATGGAGAGATTGGATTAGGGATTGAGGATTTAATCCCCAACGGAAAAGCGAATAAGCCTCTTTGGGCGCGTGGATTAGACATGCTTGGTTACTCATTGAATTCGTTTCGGCTGGCGAATTTGGAGTTCAAAGATGCGAATTCTCGGAGATTTTCTCAGATGATTCGGTTGAAGATGAACTCCGATACCACCGAGAAACTTCTTGCTGTGAGTCCTTTTCTTTCTTGAGTTTTATTTATTTATTTTGCTTTCCTATTGATTTAATTTCCAAAATTTCAAAATTATCGAATAAATATTTTAATTTTGTATTTAAAGCTCTTTATTTACATAAATTTCTTAAAAAATCCAATAACCCACTGATCGTAAAATTAAAAAATAAAAAACCATATCCACAATATTAAATTTGTATTTTAATTTCGTTTGTTTTCTTAATATATAATTTTAATTTGTTTGCTTTTTAGTTTTTAATTCGTTTGCATATCAATAATGATAGTGGGAATGGGACCCACTCCCTTATCTCAAAGCCAATCATATTTTTCTTTCAATCTAAGAAAGGAGGGATATTCTTTTACGGTTTAATATATTCTTTTTATTTTCATTTTCTACCTAAAATATGTTTTAAACATTAGCATTTGTTCAATTTAGTTCATATTTATACTTTTTTTTAATTAATTCGTCATTATTAGTGAATATTAAAATTGGTAGGTGATAATAATATTAATTTACTTTTAAAATATAAAAATTAATTAGATTTAAATTTAAATTTTATATCTATTATTAAATTAAATTTCAAACAAATGACATAAATTTTATACTAAATTTGTAATTTAATCCTTAAATTTATATTTTTAAAGAAGTATTATCTCTAATTATTATTCTTCTAAAGAGAAGCAGGGTTTGTTATTGTACGGTAAGGTGTAGAGAGTCCATTTCGGTACTGCGACGTGTCGTCACAGTCACTGTCGTTTGGCTTTGCTTTTGATTATGGAGAGTGGGGACGACAAATCGTCTCCAAATAATAATTTTTTTATTTTCTATTGAAAAAAAGACTGCACTGATTTAATAGCAATATCTTCCACTTTGGACTTTATGATATGCTCTATAACAAATGGCACGTTTGTATTGGTTGCTTTTATTGTCTCTATCGAACAATTTCTTCATTTTTTTTTTTAAATTTTAAAGAAATAATTTTTCTTATTTTTTTAATGTCATTAATTAATTGAATGGTTGTGATTGATATGAATATTTGAAGGGATGCAAATTGAGAGGCATTAAGGTGTGTGGAGCTCTGGCAGCTGCTGGATTGATTGCCACTCGTTGTTCTAAAGACCTTCCCCCTTACCACAAGGAGAAATATGGAGTTGTTACCTTAAACGACTGTCGTTCTCTCCTTAATCCTCCCCTCACGACCCACCATCTAGGTAAATTTGACTCGCTCGGTCGTTTTCTATGGTTCTTTTCTAACGAACCGTGGTCTAGTTTTTGGGTTCAGTGATGTTATTTGAGTATTCATCGCGTAGAAAATGAACCAAATCGAATCAACCCATCGATACTCATTGGGTTATTGTGCTTTCAGGATTCTATCACTCGGCCATTTTAAACACGCATGACATATCAGCTGAAGACACTCTATGGGATGTGGCAAAGCGATGCTATTTTGCCTTCTCAAACGCTAAAGACAACAACAAGCATTTCTCAGACATGTCTGACTTGAACTTCCTCATGTGTAAAGCCATTGAAAATCCTGGCCTCACTCCATCCTCGTCCATGAGAACGGCCTTGATCTCGGTGTTTGAGGATCCCATCTTTGAAGCTTTCAGTCCTGCACAGGAATACCTCGGCTTACATGACTATATTGGTTGTGCCTCTGCGCACGGCGTTGGGCCATCGATCGCCTTTTTCGACATGATTCGCGATGGTCAGTTGGATTGTGCTTGTGTGTACCCGTTTCCTTTGTTCTCTCGAAATCAAATGAACCAAATTGTTGATGAGATGAAGAAAATTTTGGTGGGTGCTATTAAAGTAGTGGAAGGATAAAAATTTAGCTTAGGTTTTATAAACGTCATGTGTGTCCCTTTTTTTTTTGTGTAATCTAATGATTCACAATGGACTCATCATACTTCATAATTAGAAAATAAATTTTGAATTTTCTGAGTAACTAAGAAGTGACAATAGTGGCGATATCCAAAGACATGACTAATTGAGTGCCAGCAGGTTACAATGTTGCCCGTAAGAAGGGTACCTTATCATTTCGAGTACAAGAAGGTCTAGTCGACTCCTACCAACATGGTTTACCTTTCCGTAAGTAGGACATTAACCCAATTTGAGAAGAAGCTTTTTTGTTATTGAACTCGAGAAAGAAGCAATCAACATGGAGCTTTATTGTATACGATACCCTTTTTTACATATCTTCCCACGATGATTTTAGGGTTTAGGGTTATCTTTAAAATCTATAACCCAAAAGTATATTTTTAAAACAATGCTCCCACGTTTACGATGTGTTTTTCCTATTCTAAATCCTATCATCAAAACACATAAACCAAAAATACTTAATATATAATTTGACTTTCTATTGAACTCTCTAATTTTCAGACCACGAACTAAATACATCTGAAACCCGGTTCAAACGAACTCATGAACATGTTCCCCAAAGTGAAAGCTACCGCGATTAGCTTCAATAGTATTCAAAATCTCTTGAAAAGCAAAAACATTGCAAGGAACCACGAGACCATTTCTTTGATCGAACCCAAACTCGTTGTAGGCTTTATCCAACACCATCTTGAAGAGTGGATGACAAAGAAACTTAGTCGGTACCACAAATCTTCGATATTCTTCTCCGACATACAAAACCACACACCCTCTCGGCGTCGTGTTCCGACCACTACTTGCTGCCATCTTTGATGCTAGTATACATTTTCCGGGTCGAATCTTGTTCGTCTTAACCAATTTCTTCAAACTCGGTATCCTTTTCTTCAACATCTCTTTAGAAATGCAAAGAAAATAGAGAAAAATGAGAGTCTTGAAGGGAGGAGAAGAAGAAGAGGGAGTTTATACTTTATAGGGAAAGATAGAAGAGAATGGAGAACAATAAACTTCCCACTCTCGTTGACTTTTTAGTTTAATAATCTAGGTTTGACTTTTTAGTTTCATAATCTAGGTTTGACTTTTTTTTTAGTGATTAAATGGAATTAAGTAGAGTTTTAAACACTAAGAAAGATTGCAGATATTTTTTGAACTTTTCATTAATTTTAATTTCCGGGTACTTAATTATCGATGCAAGGCTAAAATCTATATATTCTTTAATAATCGCTAAATAATTATGAATTTGTCACTGTACCTCTAACCTTTTTTTTTTGTATTTTAGGGAGACATTGATGATATTATGTCAACGATCTTCCTTACAAGTTTACTCAGTATCATAAATAATATGTCATATCATATATTGATTGATCGAAAATTTATAATCTCGACCACGTGTAGAGCGGCAATTGGATATTCCAATCATTACCTAATTAAGTGCATCACCGCTAATTCAAGTGTCATAAATTTTTTGCTAAAATTTCACATTGAAATTAAATGTGTTTAACTTTGACTTGGTTTTAAATTTTATATTTCTCTTGCTCGAGGTCTTCAAATATTACATCACTAACCTTATTATAAAAAAAATATCATTTTTGTAATTTGATTTATCAAATTAAAATTTTTAAAATATTTGTATAGAAAATATATAATTTAAGGTATATTATATTATACTAATAAGCTCTAACTCCACCAATGAATGCATGGCTAATGCTTTATTCACAAATAATTCAAAACAATATCAATTTAGTGGGAAGCATGGGCCTTGTTCATTATTTAAAAACTAAAAAAAAAATGTTTTTTTTAATTTATTGCAATTTATTTTTTACAAATATTTTCAAAATTTAAATCAATTTTTGAAAATTAAAAAACGAAAAATTTATTTTTAAAATTTAGAATTTGGATAAACTTTTTTAAAATTAATTTAAGGAGAGGATTTTTGAGATAATGGGCCTTTTTGAAGCATTGGCCCATCCCATCCTTTTTAAGCCATAAATTTTTGTCTTTTCTTAGAATCTCTCAAAAATAAATAATAATAATAATAATTCCTTCAAAATTTTGACTATTTAACACCACACCCACCATTCCCGAACCATTTTCGTTCTCTTCTCGGGCCAAGAAGGTGGATCAAAGAAAGGTAACTAGCTTCTCTCGTGACGATTGGCAGCTTATGTAGTGGTCGACCTTCCTACTAGGATGTCTCCTTAGTCGAAGAGCCTCTTTACTAATACTAGTAAGAGTGCAGAAATATCATTAGATGCTTATTCGTAAGTCGACAAAACCCGTTAATTAAATTTTATCGATATTAATTTCGATACACAAAAAAAAAAACATCGAATAATGACAAGGCATTTGATCGGCATCACCAAGAGGTAGATGATCATCATGTGAAAGTTTACCTAATTATGATTAATTATAGTTTGCTTGAATTTTAGTGTAATCAGACGAGTAATCGAGTAAAATTCATCATTTTCCCCTTACGGTTAATTATTGAATAATATTTTAAATTTATATTATAAATAATTGAAATATCTTTCAATATAATTTAATTAATTATTTTAAAAAAAAAATTAGAGGTTAAAACTCATCTTCAATTATTGATTGAGACACTCTAATTTTGAAATCCACTAAATAATTATTAAGGAAGACAACAAAAATTAAATAAAAAAAAGGTCGAAATCAAATAATTGGTTTATGTTTAATGGAGAAATTGAAAAACATAGGATGTAGATTGACCAGGATTTGATGAGATGGAGGGATGTGATGTGACGTGGAGATGGGAAATTGGTGGACCTTGATGCAGGTGATCTCGCCCCCCCACAGTTTTGTCAATCCTATAAATTCAGATAAGACGTCGCTGTAAGACAGGTTGTAGGACCTGGTGGCCACGTCGGATTGGCCCGGTTTTTTTTTTATTGCTTTCATCTCCTTCTGTCACCACCTGGCATTTTACCTCTCTATAAATTTATTTATTCCAAGTACTAAAAATAAATATCTAAAATAACACTTTATATCTTATTATTATTTTAATTTTCAACGTTTCAATTTTTTTTTTTAATACTAAGTTTCTAACTATTATTTTTTATTTGGATCCAGTTAACTATCTTTTTTTTTCTTCTAATTTTTAATAATTTGAAAAATTTTGCATTTGTGATTAAAATGTCACAGATAATCCAATGGCGAGTTTTTTTAAAAATTAAACATAAATTTATAAGTTAAAAACATTTGGAGGTCTCTTAAGGTCGGGTATTTAAGTTGAGTCTTGGAGAATAAATAGTAAAAATATTTTAAAAATAAAATATTAATAGCATCCATAAAAATATATATTTTTTAAATTTTACTGCTATTGTTAAAAATTTTAAAAATTTAAAAATATTTGTAAGAGTACTTTTATTAATTTAGTTAATAGTAAAATAAATGAGTTTTTTTATTATGTCAACCATTAGAGATGGACAGTTGAGAGGATAATTAATGTTTTATCAATAAAAATATTTTTACAATTAATCTACGAAACAAATTATTAAAATATGGATGACATGTCACAATAACAATACTTTTAAAATTACAATTTAGTCCCTTTATTTCCACAAATACTACACTAGAAAATAATTATCTTTAATTATTAAGGTATACATTAATAAATAATAATTAATTTTTTTCTCGATATTAAATTAATATATGAAAAAAAAATAGAATAAATTTATGATATTTGGTTAGTAATTAGGTCAAATTGTAACTGAAATCAACACCTTCATTAACAAAAGAAAATTTAGATAATAGAATTTGAGGAAGAAGACGAGCAGTAACAGAGTGCTTTTTCCTCTTCGCTTCCAAATCCATGGCTTCTTCATAATTACCAAAATACCCAAATCTCTCTCTCTCTCTCTCTCTTCTCTCTCTCTCTCTCTTCTCTCTCTCTCTAGAGACTCCATTATTCCTTCTTCATTTCTTCAACTACCATTCTCTCTCTCTCTGTGCTTGCTTCTTTCTTCCTCCAAAGCCAGCCAATCCAAGAAACAATTAAAAAGAAAAAAGAAAGAAAAAAAAGTGATGATACTCACGTCTTACCTTCCCAAGCCCTTTCTTCAATCCAACTCTTCTTCTTTTTGCACACCCAAATCTTGTTTTTCGTAGACTCGAATTAATCTTTGAAAAGGGTTAACGAAATCGAAGACCAATTCCTTTTGATTTTGATTTTCTTTTTGTTTTTTTTTTTTGTTTTGTTTTGGGGTTTCTTTTAAAATGACAGACGTCCTCCAACGATCCCCATCTCACTTCCCTTCTCCTTCAAGTTCTTCCACAGTTAATGATGGTGTGCACACACATCCCCTTATTAACAGTCCCACCATAAACCACTGTGTTCAATTTCATTTGGGTTCTCAGGAACAACAAGAACAAGAACAAGAACAAGAACAAGAAGGAGATCAGCTGTCTGTATTGACATTTTTGGTTGCTGCTTTTAGGAAGTCTTTAATTGGGTGTAGAAGTACGAGTAGTGGAAGCGGTAGAGGTGCTATGGAAATTGGATGGCCTTCTAATGTTAGGCATGTTGCCCATGTTACCTTTGATCGCTTCAATGGCTTCCTTGGCTTGCCTGTTGAGTTTGAGCTTGAGGTTCCTAGAAGAGCTCCTAGTGCCAGGTTTATGATCTCTTTAACCCTTTTTCTGTTTTGGATTTCATTTGTTTATGAGCATGATTATGAACTGATGAGGGAAATTCTGTTGTCATTGGATTTTGATTGTGGGGTTTTCAATGGATATTGCTTTAATTCTCTGTTTCAAATCCTTGCATCTTGAACGATGAACATGTATAGCTCATAGATAATTATTTGAATGATTGGAGAGAGGAACGAAATATTCTTTATAAGGGCGTGGAAACCTCTGATGTGTTTTAAAAACTTTGAGGGGAAGCCCGAAAGGGACAATATCGGCTAGCGATGGCCTTGGCCTTGAGCTGTTACAAATGATATCAGACATCGAATAGTGTGATAGTGAGGACGCTAGGCCTCCAAGGGGGGTGGATTGTGAGATCTCACATCGGTTGGAGAGGAGAATGAAACATTCCTTAT